AGTTTTATAATATGAATTTTTGAGTTATGAACATCGAATTGGAGTCGGAATTGAGTGAAACTAGTATGGTTGGACTCGATATTGAATGGGTTGTCAGATTTTATGAGTTTTGTCTGCTTCCGAGGTGCGGGCCCGGGTATGATTTTTGGACGGATTTGGAATTTGATTTAGGATTTGATCTTTATCATTTGGAATTGTTTTCTTGTGCTTTATTTGATGTATTTGAGTAGCTTTTGGCTAGTTTTGAGCCGTTCGGAGGTCGCTACGCGCGTGATGGCATCTTTGGAGCATCGCTTGGCATGCTCGGTATTGGAATTTGGCTTGTTTGAGGTAAGTAACTCTTCTAAACTTAGTGCTGAGGGTATGAAACTCCGAATTACGTGCTATGTGATTGATGTTGAGGCGACGCACATTCTAGGTGACGGGCGTGTGGGCGTGCACCCTGTGAATTGTGACTCCGTTGTTTCATGGCGCTGTTTAGTGGCCCTATTTTGTTGATATATGTGTTTTCACCATGTGATTAAGTAACTGAGCTGTCAATCATGCTAGATATCAGGTTTAGGCTTTATGCTGAAATTGTTAGGACCCATAGTGGTCGTTTCTTACTGTTATCTCATTGACTTCATTGATATTTTATACTCAGTCATATTCATGCATTCATATCATATCTCGGTCTCAGTTGTTATTTATTGATATATCATATCAATGTTGTCGGGCTAGTTTCATGACATTATGAGCCCGTGAGTGAGACTAGAGAGATTGATGAGTGAGTGCTGAGAGCATGATTATGAGTGACAATATGGGGCTGGGCTGTACGCCGCAGCATGTTATATTGATTTATGCCTGGATCTGGCTTATGATAGCGCTTGGGCTATAGAAGCCCCTCCGCAGTCTGTACACACCCCCCAGTGAGCGCGGTTGATTATATTGAGGGATGGATCTTCCCTGGACATGGATCTTGTCCGAAGCATACATATATAACTGGAGATGGATCTTCTCCATGGGGCCGGATTGGCCTTCCTCGGTACTGAGTGACTGATGGTCAGTGATGTATATTTTCCGGGATGGATCTTCCCTGGTCGCATGGGCCATATACAGTACTGAATAGTTGAGCATGATGAGTAAAAAGTATGAGACAGTGAGATTGAGTACTCTAAGAGTGTGAGTACATGATTCATATATGAGATACATGGCATTGGCATGCACACATGACATACAGGCATAGAGATGTATTTTTTCTTATGTTGTACGGTATCACGTCATTCATGACTTTTTACACACATTGATATGTGGGCATAGATAGGTATTTCACCCTTGCTATTTGGAAAGAAAAGGAAACATCTTATTTATTGTGAAAGTATTTTAGAAAAATTACATTTTTCAAACTATCTCATATTTTTTGATGATTTCGGTAAAGGATTGGGTTTTTCACTTATATTCTTGAAAAACGGAACTATTTTTGGAAAATTGTGGAAAAGCTGAGCATTTATCTCTGAGTTACTTCCTTATTTATATGCTCTGTGTTGTCATGAACTGTTGTTGGCTACTGGTGTTGGACCCGACCATATTCCGGCTCGTCACTACTTTCAACCTAAGGTTAAGTTTGTTACTTACCAATACATGGGGTCGGTTGTACTGATACTACACTTCTGCACATTGTGTGCTGATGTTGGTTGCTGAGGTTGTTATGTTCGATGTGAGCTGGATTTGAAGATGTACCTGCGTTCCGGTTGTAGCTGCCTCTTGTTCATGGTAGCCGTAGATATATAAAAGCTCAGTTTATGTACTTTTCAAACAGAAGATGCATTTACTTCATATCAGCTTTGTAAATTCTATTCTTAGAAGCTCATGATTTGTACTACCAGTTCTTGGGAAAGTGTATAAGATTTAGATAATTCTCTTGTTTAAATTGCCTTATTAAATATTATTGGAATTGGATAGTATAGTTGACTTACCTAGCGGTTTGGGTTAGGTGCCATCACGACTAGTGACAGTGTAGCATGAACTCAAAACTTCTAAAAAGACTTCTGCGCGTCCGATTCCTATGACGCCAAATTTTGCGTGCAAGACTTAAATTACATTATGGACCTACTTCAACTTCCAACACTGGAATCCGGACCCGATATCAAAAAGTCCACCATTGGTCAAACTTTCCAAAACTTCAAATTTCTAACTTTCGCCAAATGACTCTGAAACGACCTACGAACCTCCGAATCCACTTTCGGATGCGCTCCCAAGTCCAGAATCACCATACGGAGCTATTCCTAGGCTCGGAATCCCAAACGGACGTCTAGAGTGTAAAAATCCATTTCAACCCAAACTTATGAAATTTGCTCAAAATGCCAACTTTCACTATTAGGCGCTGAAACGCTCCCGAGTCGTCCAAAACCTGATCCAAACATACGCCCAAGTCCGAGAAATCATCATACGAACCTATTGGAACCGTTAAATCCCGATTCCGAGGTCGTTTACTCAAAATGTTGACCGAAGTCAAACTTAGCCTTTTAAGCCAACCTTAAAGAACCAAGTGTTCTGATTTCAACCCGAACCCTTTCAAATCCTGAACTAACCATCCCCGCAAGTCATAAAATAGCAAAAGCACGTACGAGAAGTCTTATTTAGAGGAACGGGGTTCTAGAAAAAAAATGACCGGTCGGGTTGTTACAGGACTTTTTGACCGGATTATATTTGCAGCGAGCGCTTATCCTTTTTAGGACTAGAGTTGGGCGTGATCAAATAACTAATCCATGCATAAGTTATACATGGATAAAACATCAAAAGAACAAAATTCTTCCTTCTTTTTTTTTTGCATATTCAATTTTAGCGCAATGAACCATACATCTAGCAAGAAATAATCTTTGCATTACTAACTTCTGTACTATAATCCATGTATAACTTGTTTTTGAACCAAACGATCCCAAGTGAAAAATAATTTCTTACAATTTTTTTTGAACTTTAACTTTAAATAATTTTCTGAGTTATAACAACATTGTTACGGCCTACTTGCATATATGTCCAAACGCGCGAGTCCGAAAAACCTTAGTTGGAATACAATTCAAACTAGTATTTCAACATAATTTTAATTCAAGCTCAAATTAAAGATATTGTTATCAATTGTAAAAAACAAATGTCGTTTTACAAGTTGAAACGCCATTGTTCTGAAACCCACAAACGAGCGCACTTAGGTATTCTTACAGCAAGACATTTCTTAAAATATAGCAGAGATAAAAGTTTGCAAGACATTTTTCTTATTATATTCCGCGCTCTAATTTTGAGCAAATATATGTTTCGAAGTCATTTTTTATTTTGTATTTTCATCTTCTCTCCTTTTACAAGACGTAAGTGTGTGCTTATGGAAAAGTAAATGGAAGATGGTTGAGGATCTTTGGCGGATTTCAGATTAAATTACTCAAAAGTCAGAAAAGTAAATAAAATAAAAATGTCTTTTTCATCTTATTATATGGGATAAGGGTAATAAATAACCCAAAGTGTTAATTCGGGTGAAATTAAAAAATAGCCAGATTTACAACTGGTCGTTCAAGAATAGTCCACTTTCAAAAGTAATCGAAATTTAGCCACTTTTCATGTAAAGATAAATCTGAGCGAAAACACTGTTCAAAACCCGGAAAATACGCCAGTATATTATGCTGGAGTTCCAGCATAAGTATACTTGAACTCCAGCATATTATACTGGAGTTTCAAGATAAGTATGTTGGAACTCCATCATAATATGATGGAGTTCCAGCATAAGTACACTAGAACTCCAGCATAATATACTGTAGTTCTAGCAAATATACCGGTCCAGCATAATATACTGGAGTTTGGAGCACCGGTGCTCCAGTCTCCAGTATATTATACTGGGGCCAGCAAAGTATACCGGTCCAGCATAATATGCTGGAGTTCATATATAGGTGCACCGAACTCCAGTATATTATGCTGGACCGATCTCTGCTGCAGCAAAATAGTGGCTATTTTTATTGATTTGGTAAACGCTGGCTATATTTAAATGATCAGTCCGAAAACTGACTATACCGTGCTATTTTAACTGTTAATTCAAAGACCATCAAAATATGAAAGTTATAAATGATTGTACTAGTGTCTCTCCAAATGTGGGACATTTCTTTAATTTTTATGAAGTAATCTTTTCACTTTACCAAAGGTTAAGGTCATCATCAGTGTCCAAAAGGAAAATAATTTAGAATCTCAAAAATAATCGATGAACAAACATGCCATTGCATTTAATTATCGGTCCGTGTTTGCTGTAAATTTATTTAACAATCGATCAGCTTATTAACTAATGACATTACAACAATCTATCTTGTCCCTTCGAACAAACCAAATGACACCTCACCTTTTTTTTAGCTCAAAGAGATCATTTAATTTTGCTAAATTTTCGGTGCACAAATTTTAGTTGCACAATTGTGATAACATATATTGTTACTCCCTCCGTTCACTTTTACTTGGTACGTTTTGGCTTTTCATGCCCCTTAAAAAATAATAAATAAAGTGCATAATTTTTCTATGATACCCATATTAATTGTTGCATATTTTATTAGATTTGAGAAAATAATTTGAAATGAGTAATAAATACTGTAGGTATAACAGGAAAAAAAAATTATCTTCTCTTAATATGCGTAAAGTGACAAATAAAAATAAAAAACTATTTTTAGTATATATATGCCAAGTAAAAGTGATGGATAAATAATTTGTTGCTTTTTTTATGGGGTAACGAGCGCCTCTGGAATCTACAAGCCAAAAGTTATACTGTAGTAAAAGGTTTTTTGGCGGAAAAGGGGCTACTTACTCAAGATTTCCTTTCTGAAACTTTTACAATTTTTCATGATATGTCATGATCATCTTTCGTTCTACAATCACTTTTCAAGAAAAGCAAAAAAGACACAGAAAATTTCATTCGACAAGCTCAAAAAGATGCAGATTCTATTAGTCGTATATGACGTCTCATCTTTATTCTTCCCCCTTTTCAAATGGCAGCCCATTGATGAACTGCAAAAACTGTATAATATACGAGAACCATATAGGGAAAAGTATAACTCAAGTGAACTCCTGATTTATTAGATTCATAGCTAATACAAAAATATAACTCAAAATCAGCAAAGAACTCTCTCTTCACAAAAAAATGAACACATCTTCATGATAATCGCTGAAATTTCGCCACTGCAGTCTCCCTCTTCTCTTCTCTCTCCCTTCAACATAACCTGCTCATAGCAATTTGACAGTGTTTTATGTTGGATTCTGGAGCTTTGGCATGATTAACGTTGCACGTATTTAGTAAAATGCCCATAATTTGTATCGGAAGGTCAATTTTGCAAACCATCTAAACCATTGGAACTGTACTTCAAGGGCTACAATTCTCCTTCAGAAATCACAATCAAATTACCACTTGATTTTGAGTTATATTTTTGAGAGGCTAAGAGTCATGTAGTAGAAAGAATCTGTAGCCACATACTTTATTTTCCAACTCTTCTTGTTCCAAATTACCAATTCAGAAGTCAAACTCAACTAAACTACTTTCGAAAAGTCTAAAACATGTTCTTTGCATTCAAAGGTACATTCAAGCATGTTTACCACTCAAAAATTACTAGTTTTGCACACATGCATATAGACCCTGAACTCTTTTTCTGGAGCAAGGATTAACTTGAGCTTTTCTATTATACCCATTTTACACGTATGTATATCTCTCACACACACACACACACAAAAAGTTTCCACCTTTAGCTTGCTTACTTCCAAGCTCCCTCACCTGAGTATGCCAACGCAAAACCTCATTACAAATGAATGGTGTTTCTGGAATATTGACCATCGAAATGTTTGATACAACCAAAAATACAGGAGCAGTAGTTTCACTGAATTCGTTAAAAGTTACCATCTTCTTCAGGTGATAGAATGGATTTCAATTCCAACTCCTGCTGATGCAAAAGATATACTGAGGCAATAACCATGCTGATTCCAAGGTGGCTGGTAGTAGCGTTTGTTGAAGATGCCTTAATACATTAATCACGCGATTTGTAGTTTCTTTTGTATCAAGATCTGTTTAACAACATAGAACCTACAGCAGTAAGAATCAATTACTGAATGTTTACATATAGTTTGATCGAAGGCCACATTCCATAATACAATGAGACAGTCACATTTGGCAGATCAATCAACTATCTCCATGAAGTTTAAAGCAAAAGGGAAAGAAACATGAAAATGTTATTTAAAGTTAGATTCTTGAATAGTATTGCTATATAGTTAGACTTTCTTACTCTACTTTAGTGAACTTTTACCTTACCTTTTAATCAGATATTTGTCATCTAGGAACCTGATAATCAAATTGATACTTGAAAAGCAGAACACAAACAAGAAATACAGACGAATGTAATTTTATAAGTTCATAAGGTTTAATGCTTCTATTGCAAGAATGAATAAAACATTCACAGTTGCAAAATCCTTATATCACAAAAGAACAACTCAATATAGCATCTAATAGTTTTGATTTCAAACTCACCCCTGCAAAAACTGAAACAGCTTTTGGAAGGTAATGAAAGCTGGAACCTAAAAGTTCTCTGTCTGACCTGCAAGTGAGAAAATTTGGTGAACATTAAAAAGACCAAAAATGCAATTTTATATGAGATCACCTATTAGAGAAACTTCATGTTAATGTTTAATTTGGCTAATTAAAACCTAGTTAAGGTAACAAAACTAATACTTGAAACAGTAAAGTAAATGAGGATAAAGCCTAAAGCAGACCAATCCAGTATCTTTCGACCATTTAACCCAACTGTTCATTAACATGTCAGCTTTTATAGGCAGGCAACTCAACCAAGCTGGAAAACCTACCAACTTGCTAGAAATTGTTAATTTTTTTGTTTCAAGAACACTAGAGTTTTCCTCCATAATTTGGCTGTGCAGAGAGCTGTGCAGGCTGCAGTTGAGGCTTCACTAGTTTAATTTATTGTTCCTCCTTGTATCTTTGCTGCAGTTTTTTTTTCCACTGTGGCACTTAAAATTACAAGGGAAACCGTGTAATTTGTAAGGAACGAGGCTCATAATTAATATATCTCCTCTCACAGAGATTTAGGTCTTATTCTAAATCCAATAGGAGATGAATAATTGAGTTTCTGATCCTGTTCAGCTTTATAGAGTACTTACTTTATTCCACAAATGCATTCACAGGTACATTATATTAGGCTGTCCAAGCTCATCCTAGAACTCCTTCATCTTAGTGAAGTACTGCAAACATTCGTGTGTCAAGCCGTCTTGTGCCTTTTGTTTTTGATAAACATTGCCCCATTTGTCCGAATAAATCTATCCTCCCTAACGATCCATGCTTTGACAATATAAAAATGTTGTCCCAAATGTTTCTTCCTAGGGCATTCAAGATCCAAGAGATGACCTTACCATTGCATAACGCCTAAAGAGAAGAAGCTGATGGAGGCTTTACATAAGTGCATCTAGAGACCTACTTCTTTTTTGCATAAATACATGAATGTTTTCTTTTTCACATGTGATTGGGAAAATAAGAAAAGAAAAGAATTAGTTGGGGTATCTAATAGTTAGCAGAACAACATTGAAGCAAGAGAAAGAAATAAAAGGGCTAAATAACTAGGTAAAATGGAACAACTCAGTCAAACCCCTCCAATTCAAGGTGGTTTTATAAAAAGAAAAAGAAAGTTAGGAAATTTGAAACATATAGGCAACTAAGAACTAGTTTTAAGAAAGTGTAGCCATTACAAGCATAGGAAACTACTATATAATTACTCAAATTACGTCACCTATAGGAAAGTCCTCATTGGCTTAACTAAAACTCCTTTCAGCTAAACGGGTAAAGCAACTAAATAAACAAGAAAGGAATAGTCAAACCAAGCATCACATGACTATATTCGTAGACTTTGTCAATTGTTTCCGGTAATGATTCAATTGACTTATTGACCTTTAGATAGAGACGGATCTAGGATTTCTAGAACATGGGTGCATCACTATAGAAATGAGGAGGAAAAAGTGTAAAGTGGGAATTGATCGTTGTTTCTTTGAGTAAATAATTAAGTATTGAACCAAGTGCACCATTCAACCTTTATGGAGCATGGGTGCCAATACATAATATTGGATCAGTTCTATGAAATACATAGATAAAATACCTAGTTTGACGGAAGGATCATGGGTTCACGTGCCCCATAATTGAGGCTATAGATACGCCCCTACCTTTAGATTTTAATATCTATTAGATTAATATTGGAACAAATTATGTGATCCAACACTATGACGTCTCAAACTATTTGATGCATGCACTAAATTACCCATCTATAACTGAAATTTTGGAGTGCCTACTCAAGCATATATGAGCTGAAGGTATAAGAATGCACGAACAAATAAAAGAACATACTTGGCTACGTTGATACTTTCACCATGAAGTATAGATATCTTACCAAGTCCAGAAACAACATTATCATATGCATCTACATTCTCAGGTTCAATAGCTTTTAAATGCATCGCCACTACATTGATCATTGACAGAGCCTCTAGTTCAGGTCATAAGATTAACTAAACACACAAAACATATCACTTTTTGTCCCCTCTCCATGACGAAAGGGTCTCAATATCATACTTCCAATAAACGGTTTGAAATCAGAACTACCACATTCCGCACAAAGCCCAAGTCCATAAAGAGCATTCTAAACACGACATCAACAGTTTTCCAATAAATCAAATGGCAAATGCAACTTTACCAAAAACTGTTGCAACCACTAAGATGTAAGAACCTGTCTAACACCTGGATCTTCGTCATTGCTTGCAACCAAAATTAAAGGAAGACAAACATCATAGTCCTAATTTTCACAGAGTAACTACCAAATACAGGAAGCCATCAAGGAAAAATCCACAAATATATACACATACTTTAGAGCACTCCTCCACAACAGCATCAAAGATGTATATCTCTTATTAGTTGTTTTCTCCTAGGCCTTCTTCCAGGTAACAACTGGCCTGAATTATTGTTATTCTTATATCAGTGCATCACTTCCAATTCAAACAAGTTAAAAGAGTCGACCTTCTTATTATTTCGGCAATTAGCTAACATCATAGGAGGAACAATAGTCCCTTGCTTAAAAATGTGTGCTCGCTATTCCTAAATACACTTGGATCTCGATGTGAAGGTCACGGCCATGAGCGTTGTGATCAGCTTCATTCAGTGTGCATCGAGTCCAAATGAAAAGGAGCAGTTTCAAGATTTATTGTCCGGTACGACGAGGACGTTGACTGACATGTTATGCAACAGTGAAGTGATAGATTTGCAAATCTATCAAAAGAAAAAAAAAGTTTTAACCCGCGTTGGGCTGCAAATCTCTCACTGTTGCATAATGCATCAGTCAACGTACTCATAACACCGGGCAATAGATCTTGAAACCGCTCCTTTTCATTTGGGCTCGACGCACAATGAATGAAACGCACATTGAGATCGCTGGTGTATCATTTAGTGTATTTAGGCATAGTGAATGCAAAATTTTTAAGCAAGGAACTATTATTTCTAATTGTTGAAATAATAAGAAATTTGATTATTTTAACTTATTTGAACTTAAAGTGACAGCATTGATACAATGTCAATCATTCAGGCCAGTTGTTACCTGGAAGAAGTAAGGCAGTGAGCTCTTGGATATTGATTCTTCAAGCGAGATCGATTAATAAGTACACATTTGATGCATATGGACAGCACAGTTTTCACCGAAATAAGAGCTGAGAATGTTAGCAAGCAAGTCAGGATCCTACTGCTTTATCATGTTACAGTTGACTTGGCCTCGAATCGTTTCTCAATGAGATCTGAGATGAGGGTTTCAAATGGCTCCGAGACGATTATGACGGCTAAATGAGAAGGAGAGAGACGGCTATAAAGTTGCTGAAAAACATTAAAATTATGCACGACTCCTCCAATATTACCTATATTATGGTTAAACTCCCTTTTCTTTTCCAAAATTATAAAGGTACCCCGGGCGAGACCAAGCACTCTTCTGCTAGTGTTAATTGTTAAAGGTTAAACTGGTGCAAATCTTAATGGAAATTGTTAAGATTACAAACTTATTATTAAACATATGCTAAATTCGTATTTCGTAGACATGCAGTAGGATGTGAGTATTAAAGGAGAAGAAGTCTATATGTGCAATCGTTAGAGAGTTAAGTGCTTAAAAAGATTTAAATTATAGGTTAAGGTGCATCTCATGCCTTGAGATTTGAGAAAATTCATTGTTTATAACTCTATGATCTCTTCAATAAATATAGTGTTAGTAGACTGTATTTGTAAAATAATTCTGGAAATATAAATGAGTATAAACAGAAATGAACATAAACAGAAATGACATAAAACCAATTCGAGCCCACTGAATTCACAGTGTTTCCTTAAGGAATTTAATCTCCTCCTAGTACCCAAGGTTATGGATTATTTCCTCCCAGGATAGAACGAATTACACACTGGTGTAGTGGTACTTCAAACCCCAGTGTTTCAGCGAACACAACGTTCGGTAGCAAATCACACTTACTTTTTGCTTTGTTTGATGCTAAAAGTATGCAGAAGAAGGAGAAGAAACTCAGAAAATCGTAGTGAAATTCTGAGCAGAATAGTGTTGTATTTATAGCCAAAGTTAGGCTGAAATCTGAAGAGGTGCAACTCTTCAGAATGGTTGTTTATGCAAAACGCCCACAGCATAAATGCCATTACATAAATGGCCATTTACTCAATAATAAAGAGGGAAAATAAAGAGGGAAAATTGAAGAGGGTAGTTACTTTTCTGTTACCAAAACAGAAAAACGGATTGGATTTAATATTAATATTTAATATTAATATTTTGTTATTAAAACAAATATTTAATAACATTTCTGTTAATATTTTACTATTAACNGGAACCCATATGTGAATATTTAATAATAAAAATTAATTATTTAATGTACAAACTAACATATAAATTTATAATAAAACTATCACATAGAAGAATTCAGGATAAATTGATGCTACTGGGCTCTAAATATGGAGCCTGGAACCATATGTGAATATTTATTTATAAAAATAATTATTTAATTTACAAAGTAACATGTAAAATAATAAAACTAACACATAGAAGAAATCAGGATAAATTGGTGCTACTGGGCTCCAAATATCGAGTCTGGAACCCATATGTGAATATTTATTTATAAAAATTTATTATTTAATTTATAAACTAACATATAAAATTATAATAAAACTAACATATAGAAGAATTTAGGATATCTTGGTGCTACTAGGCCTCAAATATCGAGCCTGGAACCCATATGTGAATATTTATTTATATAACTTTATTATTTAATTTACAAACTAACATATAAAATTATAATAAAACTAACACATTGAAGAATTAAGGATATCTTGGTGCTACAGGGCCTCAAATATCGAGCCTGGAACCCTTATGTTTTAAACTTCATAATAAATATTGAATAATTATAAATTTTAATTATTTAATTTACAAACAAACATATAAAACTATAAAACTAACATGTAATTAATGTTGTTTAATTTACAGTAGACGACATGTAGGTGCCGCCTGTTCATCCCGGACCTTCTAGCGATGAGCTACTCTTGTTACAGGGCGATCATAGGTCTGCCCACATATGGGAGGGTGAGTTACTGACCCAGACTCTCCGCGCCAGGAGAGTGGACAACATGTGGGACTTTCTGCATGACAGAGTTCTCCATGATCGTGTAGTCACACGCCTGTAGGAGACGGGTTTCTATAGGATTTTGGAGATCGGGCTGCTGCAGCTCGATTGGTCTTTGGTCATGGCCCTGATAGAGCGATGGCGAGCGGAGACGCACACATTCCACCTGCCCATTGGTGAGGCCACCATCACACTAAAGGACGTGGAGGTTTTATATGGGCTGCCTGTTGATGGACTGCCCGTTGCTCTCCCACCTGGCATGAGAGAGATGACGCGTGTGCAGTATCTGGACATGCTGCAGCGGCTCACTGCTTTCCGGCTAGAGGATGAGAATGTACTGCATGGGACCAGTCGTTTTCCGTTGATGACTATTCGACAGTGGAGGCATTGCATCCTGAGATTGATGGCGATATACCGGATTATCATGTTGACCGGTATACGAGGTTGCTGCTACTCCTTATGTTTGGAGGGGTCTTGTTCCCGAACACTTCGGGGAACTTAGTCAGCTTGAGATTTCTTCATCATCTTGAGCGGCTAGATCATTTACCCCAGTATAGCTGGGGCTCTGCTGTTCTCGCCTTCTTGTACAGGCATATGTGTCGGGCGAGCATGGGCACCCAGAATGACATTGCTGGATTTTTGCCGCTACTGCAGGTGACAACATATTCGAATACTCTATTCATTTTAACATACCTAGTAAAAATATATCTTAGATTTTGCGTCAACTTTTTATGTTAGGTTTGGGCCTGGGAGCGGTTCCTGCAGTTGCAGCCACCTCTACCACAATTAGATCCGGATGTACCACCGGAGTTGCTCCCTCTAGCTAGGAGGTGGGTTCTCCGGCGGGGATATATGCGCGGGTACGAGGCTCGGCATAATCTCTCCTTGTTGAGGGATATTCTGGATTTGCTGGATGGCGCACAGGTAAATGTATATCTAAGTTTACTTGTAATACACTCTAAACACAAGTTGTGTATACTGATGTTTTCTGTTCTTACTTACGAGTTGATAGCTGGCTTGCCCTGTTATTGCTCGGCCGACCGACTTATGCGGGCCTCTTCCGTCCCATTGTTCTGCCTTGATATTGTGGAGCATCATGCCACCGAGCAGGTACTTCACCAGTTTGGCTGTCCGCAGCTCGTACTGACGCCGCCCACCTGGAAGACCACACATTACCAGCGGGATGATCGTACCAGGGTAGACGACGCAATTTTGGCATGGCTACAGGACCATATATTTACATGGGACCGGCGATATCACCGAGACGGCTGGATACTGAGCATTATTACATGTGTTGGTACCGCGGCGTTACCCGACTTATCGCCGGGAATCCCATTTATCGAGCTGGCAGTCGGTACGTTCCATACGCCGGGAGGCACGAGGCACTGGTATGTTATTTGGTATTCTTACTTATAACTGTTCTAGTGTTCCGTAACTTATATTTTACATGTTGTGTAGCCTATTGGCCTACATTTAGTCCACCAGTTGGGACTGCAGATGCAGCAGCACGCTGGCGATCCTGCGATCGCTTTGCAGGAGTATGGCCGGCAGGTTACAGAGCTGGCTGCCCGGACACTACATCGAGCCAGAGAGGACGAGCGCTTAGAGCATGTCCCTACTTATGTGGCGCCAGAGCACTACCATCGAGGTAGGCCTATCCCACGAGCAATGGGACGACGAGGCAGGGCTATCTCACAAGACAGGGGTGCCCCACGAGGCAGGGCTATCCCACGGGGTCGTGGGGGCCGGCAAGGAGGTGGTCCCCAGCAAGGGGGCGTTGAGGCACCTATTTAGGCACCTGATGATGATGTTGGAGCTGATCTGCCGGGTGACCTCCATCAGCCAGACAAGCAACCCAGCAGCATGCCGTCGTACAACCTTTAGCTGGCATTCACTCCAGCCACATCGCAGGTGATCCCGTCAGATCCATTATTGATCACGGGCACGAGCCTTACCGGACATGATTGGGAGCAGATGTTTTTAGGCCCATGGATCGCTACTGAGGATTGGCAACCCGAGATGTGGATGGTGGGCGCCGGCTGAGTTATGACTCATCGTCGACGGGTGGTGTGGATCTTTCACAGGAGTAGGTATGTTTGTATTACTATTAAATTTTAATATGTTTTTATCTCATTGATTCGAAATAAATAACTTTATAATTTTCTTATTAAGGCTTCATCCCAACCCGTCACAGAGGCCACTTTGTGCGATGCGGAGCAGGATGCGACGGATGCTTATATTCAGGAGCCCGACGAGACCATGGTAAGAATTGTTTTTGACTTAACACGTACATCACTAATATATATTTTCATATACTGAGCTGACTTATTATTTTGGAGGTTGCTGATGGACCAACGTCCCCTTCTACCGATCCTACCAGCACTACTAACGATCATGTTGCAGCGCATCCTCAGATAAAGAGGCGACGTGATGAGGATGATCCTGATAGCGTATCCGGGCGGGATGGGATGCGCCTCAGGCCAGCGGCTGCATTGAAGCATACAGGCTGTGGGGCATTTTGATTTTTTTACAGACACTTATTACAAAAAATATTACGAAAATAAAACACTACGTGTATCCTTGATAGTTGGGAACATTAGACGAACTTGCACCAAGAGCTGGATTACCACCGCCACCCAAACCAGCTAAAGGACATTTACGACGGTCGTGTCCTGTTTGCGAGCATATGCCACATTTACGCACATAAACGGTATCACCAACATCCATTTGGTTCCGTATACGCGTTCTCTTTTGCACTTGTAGCTTGCGCAAATGGTCCTTGTTACACAGCATTTTAAATGGTTCCGGCGGCCAATAATGCTCAGCACCCACTGGCTGCAATTGCCCACTATATGTGTTTACGTATGCAGCAACACTGTATTGCCTATCAACATAGTTGGTTGCCCCTAAACCTGTTTGTTGAAAGCACTTCATGGCA